ATATATGGCTGCAATCGGTCCGAAAAACGTTCAATGAGAATTTCCGCGCTTCTGAGCTAAAGATCTTCTGCTATCTCGAAGATTGGTAGAAGAACTACTTGCGGTGAAGGATATTGGAAATACTTCTTAGTTAAAAATAGAATTCGAAATTACATTTAATTTTATCTTTGCTGATCGTTAATTTTACCTCAGAAAATTCTATTTAATTAAAGTTTAACTGCAATCAATCTCATGACTCGGAATTTTGTTTGACTAAAAAATAACAAATTAACTCATAAGGTTATTTTATTTTATTGTCAACTATCGACAAAAGTAAGCTTTTACTGTTCTGCAGTATAACATTGAAGTTACTCAGCAAAAAGTTTTATTAGATTCATCGAGCCAAGTCATCAGCTGGAAAAAGAATATAAAAGCAGTATATGGGGTGGTTTATTTACAGAAAGTACGATAGCTACTGAGTAAGGTTTGTCTTTAAACGACCGATTTAAAAACGATATTACAGTTTAATGGGGCGAGTTCCTTGGTCTCTTGGATCTTTTGTCAATCTTACGTCGTTACGTGTAGGGCGCTTTAAACGACAAGAAAAGAAATAACAAAAATATTCCCTTCGTAACCATTTACGTGTCGTGATATGTTAACGGTTTAATAGTTGAAATAAAAAGTTCAGCCAAGGTGATAAAAAACTGTATACATATATACAGTGGTTTAATATGTGTAGATGTATACGAGTAAATGTAAAACAGCTATTATATTCACGTAGACTCACGTTTACCAGACGTCCAACCACCATCTCACGGGTCAGGTTTACCAAGGGGCTATGCTTCATCTCCATCTCATGTACTTTGCACGAGGTACAGAAGACACTGAAAATCTACATAGCGACCTATTTTACACCACTTTATTGTAGATTAAATCTACATACGAAATAACGGCTGATTTTGTATTAAAAAGATTGATAACGAAACAAAGGCCTATTCTTCAAACTTTTTATAAGTTTTAGGCTGAAAATTATCTATACTGATAAATGGAGAGCCGGTTTTTTTGTCCGGTTATACTGCGAAAAGTACTGAACCGATCGGAATAATACTAATATCATAAGATGCAGCGTGTTTAGGAGAAGGGTTTAGTATATGATATGTTGATGATTACTTATCCGGAACCTATATTTTTTTGACTCATAAATAATGAATTTTTATTGCAACTAAATTTATGCTATTCGATTGTAATTTGTTTAAAATAAATTTTTTAGTTCTATTGGTTATGTTTATATACTAGGCAGATTTCTTCACTTATGAGACCTGCAATTTCTTTAACTGAAACTTTCAATGTTCATTACAATTTTTTTTTTTTTTTTTCATATCAATTATTATTCATTTTTGTAAGATAAACACGGGAATGTTATAATGATTGCACATTGAAAATTACAATGAATATTAGCTAGAATAATTACATGGATAAAAGGTGCATGCCAATTCGACAGAATTTGGAATCTGTGCAAGTCAAAATAATACTCTAACTAAATTTCAAGTCTAGATCTACAAAAGCAATTCTATCAAGCGCCCAGCGGAGCGGGCGAGTAGCAGCTAGTTTACAATAATTTTATTAACAAATTAGCAAGTGAAATTATCTTTATAGTAAATGAATTATGTGCGTCGACATGATAATACACATTTAGAATTTACGATGAGATTTTGATGGTATTATTTCGATGGAGCGATAAATCTAATACAATACAAAAACGTATATTTTGAAGTGTATTCCATCAGCCAGGAGAATAAAATTACTAGACAATGAGACGTCAACGCTCAATTACGGTGAGGTTTGTGACAAAATCATAGCCCAGTGTATGTATTGTGAGTATATATGCTGGTCTGTTGTATCGTGCTAGCAAGCACGTCGAATACGTGGTGGCAGGTACGTGACACACGCTCAATGAGGCAAGCTGTGTTTTGTTATATGACAGAACCGAGCTAAAGGGAGACAGATGTGTGCACGAACGTGGATACAGATAAGGCTAGCCAAAGCATCGAGGGAACGGATGAAATAGGATGACGCCGCGACGTACCGCACAATTAACGTCAATCAATGCATCAGTGGGGTCCGTTTAAAACGCAACAAGTTGAATTTTTCCACCTAATCCGCCTAGACGGAACATATATTTCGCGTTTCAGCGAATACGAGCACATGGCTCCGGTAGCCTTTAATTAAATTACCTCGTCGCCCCGCTCTCCTCTCTTTATTTCTATTCATTCTCTTCCTATTTTCTCTTAACACCCTCGAAACAACCTCTCACATATTCTCTCTCTCTTTGTTCAGCCACCTCGCAATCTCTTTGCAATGCAAACGTTTAGTTGGAATATTGTGGATTTTACAATATGAATTCTATATACCAGCATATTCGTTATACGCACCTGCGACTTTAAATGTCATCAGTGAAATTTTAATTTATTTTGTCACGAAAGTGAATTACTGCTGTTTGTTTTTTTTTTTTTTTTTAAATGTCAAAAAAGAAAAGAGAAATAAATTATTTGACGATGATAAATTGAAATGAAAGTTTTAACGGCGCTAGTGGTTTTCATATTTGTATATAGGTGTGATAATATTTTTGTATTAAAATGTGATTGTGTAAAGTAACGAGAGAGTTAGTGCAGTTGATGCTAAACACGAAGGATAAACAGGCCAGTTATTCATACATAAATTAGAAGCGCCAAGTGAATACCGTCTGGGGGGCGTTTAATTAAATTTTGTGTCATGATATATGTTACAGTTATTACGAGCAACTACTACCCCCCTCTCTTCTTCATTTTATAGTGGAATCATGTCTTTTTAAGTTTCACACTTTCTTATGTATGCATGCAAAAAGCAAACACTCTCACCAAACAACTCTTTGGAAACTTTGTATGATAATTTAATAACTTTTAAACTATTGCTAAGTATTATTAAAAAAATTAAAAATATTTTTAAACAACGTAAATATTTCTCTACTTTGTTTTTCTTTAGTTTAAAATAAAAAAAAATTTTTCAAATTATTTAAGTAGCACTCTAAATAAACGTACTATTAACTATGTGATACTTCAATGGTATAATTTTTCTTTGAAGCGTCCGTTTTTAATCATACGAGTTGTTTATTCAAATCTGCTAGAGCTTTGAATTAATTTACACTCACCTCAAAAAAAGAAAATTAAATATTTAATTAATGTAACGCTGGACAAACGCTGCACAAATTTTTGCGTTAAAAATACATAATTAGCGGACAGTCTGGGGTTGCATAAGCTCAAAGTCGCTTTTGAAAAAAAAATCCATAAAAAGTTTTTATTAAACGCTGTTTCTCGTTATAATAAATTCAGTTATTAAAGACTGGATAATTTTACTTGCTTATAATACGTAAGCTCGCGATTAAGGAACTAAAAGTTTTAAATAAATCATGAACTGGATAAAATTTTTAATATTAATTTAACAAATTTATCAGAGTGAGCTTCTGATGACTTTAATTATTTTTTTTTGACGAAAAAAAAATTCTGAGAGTCTAAAAGTACGACCAGTCCGCGAAAATTCTACTTTTTTCGAGTTTAAAAAGGTGAACTAAACATTTTCGAGCTCTTGAAATTGTTAGAAATTAATTTTAGGTACTGTAAATATTAATTATAGTTATACATTAAAGTTCTATCGCCTTGCGATCAAGTTACTAGTGAATCTTAATTCAAACCAAACGGATGGACCTTAAATGAAAATTAAAGAAATATAAATGAGAGCAAATCATTTATATTTCTTTAATTTTCTTTCATTCATTAAGAACATCTTTAACTCGAACAGATATCACATAAGCTCTCAGCTTCACTAGTATTCAAGTTCGGTGGATCCCCATCGAAAGTATGAAAAGAGGGAATATGTCCCTCGACCATTATTTGAAGATGGAATGTCCATCCGTTTGGCTTGAATTAAGATTCACTAGTAACTTGATCGCAAGGCGATAGAACTTTAATGTATAATTAAATTACGGTCGATAAAAAATAATAATTAATTATAGTTTTGAAATTCAATTATGAAAGTAAATATTCTGTATGGAAAACATCGCAGTTGCATTTGTCAACCCTAGAAGTTAAATATCGCTGTCAAAGGCTGACGTTTGTCGGGTTCGAAAACTAGTTCTTCCAAACAAGTTTTAGCGACGTCGAACACATACATTCAGACTGACCACACTCACCTATATATATGCTCAGTGACAGCCACGGTTTCAAACATATATCATATACCAATATATGAGTTTATAGACATATATGTATAGTCAGTAGTCACATATGCAAAATCCACGACATGGCTTTGTCATATGCATACTCGTGAATGGCAAGAGGCGCCTTTGTCTCTTTTACAATATTACCGCCGCTTCATTGGCATATACGCTGCCGTCGTCGCCACACAGATAACTGCCGAGCGAGCCTTTGTGCAGTAATAGTCAAACTTGAATTTTATTAAAATTTCGGGAGCTGAACTTGCGATAATATTCGCCGATAATATCTCCTAACGTTTATTACCCACCATTATCTCTATCATATAATAATACTCCAAATGTCTTTATAGTTGTAAAAAAATGATGAAGAAAAAAGCTTTTTGGTCCCGAAAATATCCAATAAACTTGACTACTAAACTGCTCTTGAACGAGGAGCAGTTAACCGATGCTAAGAGGTACTAACGATCGCGGTAGCAAGTGCAAACAAACTTTCACCTTGCCCACAGGCTGCCAACTAAAGAGATTGTTGGAGATAGATCTTACTACTACCTCGTCAACATTTACAAGGTCATACGCTTTTATTTAATATTTCATCGATAGTATTGATTACGATGATGGTAAATATTTACTTGAAAATATTTCCGATCTTCAGTACTCCTAGTTTGCTTTTTAGTTTATTATTTATCTTTGGTATTGAAGTACTTTGAACCGTATTAATTATAAACTTGATCGATTAATATAAAAATAAAAATAAAATAAATGAAATCAAAAGTACTCACCACCAAGATCAGCAAAGAATATCTCACGAAGAGCCAGAAATTCTTCTTCAACCGGGATGTCTGGTTTACCGAAGCAATCATTTTCAGGCCAAACTTGTCTGTAACAAGATTGAAATTTTCAGATGTTTATTTATATAAACTTGTTTCAACCATTAAAAAGTTTTAATAAGTAATTAATGAATAAACATCATTTCATCGATAAATTAAAAGCTTGAGCAATATTTTTTATTGAAAAGTTCAAAAACTAATTAACATTTAAAGTAATGAATTTAATAAAATAAAAAATATGTCTTATAGATAAAAAGCTCAAGCGGAAATGCAATTGGAACTGAGGATGAAGTCACGGTTATCGGTAAAACCGTTTTGAAATCGCAAAACGCCGAGCTCTCTCGTCCGATCCAATAAGCAATGGTACAGCCGTCCATGATGTCATCCGCCGAGTCTGCCTTGCATTCACTTCTACCAAGAACTATCCGACGAACCAACTCTCCCGACCACTAACCAACAGCTTGAGCAGAATATCTATACAGCAAAAACCGAGATGAATAGGAATCCAACGCCATACAATTCCCATTATTCTACTACTCACTCCTCGTCCCATAACAATGAATCTTCTGACCTAAATCCTCTCGTAAGTCATAAAGCAAAATTTCCATCGGCAAATAATATTAATTAATAATACAACACATTGAAAAGCTTAATACCACGCTTTTGAAATAAAAAATATATAATAACGAATTTTCCATCGGATACACAAAAAAAAAGGTTCACTTGAGCCAAGAAAATATTGCTTTTCCTAATTATTTTTTTGAGCAAAAAAAAATTTTAACTTCCCCTCGACGTTTGAATGTCACAGGAAGCTTCCCTGACTATTTTTACGATGATGTCCGTACGTCTGTATGTGTGTGTGTGTGTGTGTGTGTGTGTGTGTGTGTGTGTGTGTGTGTGTGTGTGTGTGTGTGTGTGTGTGTGTGTGTGTGTGTGTGTGTGTGTGTGTGTGTGTGTGTGTGTGTGTATGTGTGTATGTGTGTATGTGTGTATGTATGTATGTATGTAAACCTCTTGTAACTTTTGAACGACTTGACCGATTTTATCGCGGTTGGTGTCATTCGAAAGGGCTTCACTAAACTTAGATTTCCTGAAAATTTGAACCGATTCGGACCGGTAGATTTCGAGAAAATGCAAAAAAAGTGAAAAAAAGGTGAAAAAAAAGTTGTTTTTTTTTATTTTTTTTAAATATCTCCGAATTGGCTGAACCGATCGGTCTCAAAAACTAATCAGCTCTTAACCTTGAAAACCCCCATCGATCGCCACCAAAAACGTTAGAATCGGTTGATGCTTTCGTGAGATATCGTTGTCGAAAAAAATCGAAAAAAATAATATTTTTGAGCTCGAAGAGCTCAAAAACGTAATGTGTAGTTTGAAGCGTTTAAGTACAAAATGAGCGGGAAGTTGCAGGGATGGCCTTTAGGGTGAACCGTTTTTCTAATTTTTTTTTTTTGACACAAGAAATTTCACTTATTCAAACTAAATTAATTCTCTTGCTTTAAGAAATACGTATCTTGATCCAAAAAATTTATTTAAGTCAAGAAAATCTTCTTGTTTTGAGAAAATTCAGCTTCTTGCTCCAAAAAAATTTAGTTCTTGATAGAAGTAAATTTTCTTGTCTCCAAAAAATTTCTCTCTTGCTCCAAAAAATTAAATATAAAGATAGAAATAAATATTCATTAATATTTTTATTGATTAACATGTCAAATGGGAAGATCAAATAGTATTGAATCATTTTTTTTCATTTAATATGTATAATTGCACGCTAAAATAATATAAAATCGGTATCAAATATTCAAGAGAAAAATTTTCTCAAGGAAAATTTTTTCTCAGCTGAAGTAAGCGGTGCTGCTTTCCTAAAGTATCTAAAAATCTTGATCAAATATAAAAATTTATTTTATCAAGTATTCTATACTAATAAATGGAAAGCCGGTTTTTTTTTCCAATTATACTGCAAAAACTAACTGAACCGATCGGAATAATACTTATACCATAAGATGCAGCGTGTTTCGTAGAAGGTTTTAGTATATGATATGTTGATGATTACTTATCCGGAACCTATATTTTTTTGACTTAGAAATAATGAATTATTATTGCAACTAAATTTATGCTATTCGATTGTCATTCGTTTAAAATAAATTTTTTAGTTCTATTGGTTATGTTTATGTACTAGGCAGATTTCTTCACTCATGAGACCTGTAATTTCTTTAACTGAAACTTTCAAAGCTCATTACAAATTTTTTTTTTTTTCATATTAATTATTATTCATTTTTGTAAGAAAGGCACGGGAATGTTATGATTGAACATTGAAAATTAGCTAGAATAATTACATGGATAAAAAGTGCATGCCAATTCGATAGAATTAGGAATCTGTGCAAGTCAAAACAATACTCTAATTAAATTTCAAGCCTAGATATAAAAATACAATTCTATAAAACGCCCTGCGGAGCGGGCGAGTAACAGCTAATTTATGATAATTTGAATTAAGAAAATATAACTTTCACCAAGAATAGAATTTCAAGAACAATTTTTACTATGGCCAATACAACTTCGGTCTCCCTTCAGGCACCCGAAAATTTTCTTGAGCCAAGAATTTTGCTCTCCAGTCAAGAAATTTTTCTTTATGTGTACCAAGGTTAAACAGTCTGCTGGTTATACAAAGAGACTAATTATCTTATAAGGTTTATCAGAATCATTAAAACCTCTTGCCGCGATAAGTATGTGTATAGGCTAATATTATACCAGACACGGATATTAGAACAAATGATATAAATTCAAGATTATAGTTAAGCGCACACTGGAAGTATTTGCTTGGCAAACGACAATTGAAGCATTCATTGAAGAAGAAGGTGTATGTTTGTTCGCCGACGGTTTTCTCTTTACATATTTGATGATTACACATGGTAACGCGAGGAAAAGAGACAATGTATTCGTTAATACGCCATAAGGAATGTACAGACTCTATTGTTTGCCTTAATACCAGCGATATTAGCATAAGTGTATTATTGTTATTATTAATAATATCGTTCCCAGTAAAACGTTGTAGGGGAAAGGTCTGCGACATATAGTACTAAATGTATAATAGTTAAGGTAGTGGTGATAGGACTAGACAAACTCTGGCAGACACTATGGTGTCTCCAATCCTCATGTATTCATTGTATGCACAAGCTGCTGTATAACCAGTTTAGATTTCTATTGTCCATACCTGCAAAATATATATTTATATACACTATATATGTATGTGTATATACATTGCACGAGATCGTGCTCACAATACTATATAAATACATAAGTACGGTTTGAGACTATCAGTTCGTCTCTTTTACTCCAACAGAAATTTAAACGCTCGCCATCTCAGACAACTTGGCCAGTAGTACAGTAGCTAGCTCACGTTCGCTAAGTCCAAATGGTGCAGTTGAAGTGGTAGTAATGAAACGTGAAGAGGGTCGTCGTAGCGCAGCGACCGATTCTGCCAATAGGTTGCATTATTGAACCAATTTCAAGCCAACTTCGTCTGCTATATCTACTTCGGCTGCGGGTATAGTATTGAGGTCCTATATCTAGAGTGGACCGATTCCACGCTGACTGGAATATACTATTATGTACGGAGAAACGCCCTAAAGCTCTGATATGCCAGAGAAATACTGGATACTGAATACTGGCTAGTGTCTACTTTACTCTTTCTATCTGTCTGATGATGATAGTGGTACTCGCTGCACGATAACGAGCTTGTCTTACGACTAACATAAAAGCCGGCCGACTTTTTTCCGTGATTTTTTTTAATTCTTTTATAAGTGATATTGAAACGAAAAAAAAAAATACAATGTGATAATCTGTGTTATTAAGAAAATAAGCAAAATTTTGTGGCCAGTGTTTTATATGATAAAATGGGTTTTTGTAGTTAAATTTAGTATCGTTGGAAAAATCTTGACCTGGTGTTGTGCCTTTTCATGGTTTTATATCATTCTCACCAATAGTCAATATACGATGACAAGTATTTAGGCTGCATTCGAAAATACTCTATCTCTAGATACATAATTAAGAAATGACCTTGTATCTTGTGAACTATTGACATTTTTAAAGATATAAGCTCATCCCGATGTTACACTCATCAAGACCTTTCATTTAAGTACCCACATCATTTTTTCATATATTTTATATATAAATATATATATGTATATATGACAAATATATCAAAAATGCATGTGGGTACTCAAATGAAAGCTCTTGATGAGTGTAACATCGGAATGAGCTTATATCTTTAAAATATATATTATATATATGTATATATGAAAAATATATCAAAAGTGCATGTGGGTACTCAAATGAAAGCTCTTGATGAGTATAACATCGGGATGAGCTTATATCTTTAAAAACGTCAATAGTTAAAAAAGTACAGCGCAATTTAACTAAAGTCATTATTTAATAAAGCAAAATTTTATTTATTTATAGTTCACAAATCACGGCAGTCACATTGTGACTGCAAGATAGTTAGTGTTTTTTTATTTAATGAAAATAAAGAAAAGATTTTGTCGAGATGTGAATTTAGAGAAAATAATAATAAAATTTTAGAAATAATTATTTTTCAGCCGGTTACTGATGGAATTTTTTTTTTACATTGACAAAAGTTTTACAGATGTACGATAACTATTTTTAAAGTTTAGCAATAAAAACACCGAACAAATGATTAAAGTAAAGGGAAGAAGAATGAATAAGAGAATAGAGTGACGTAGAGTAAAGTGGGAAAGCAAGACTGCATCGATCGTAACGCAGAGCCGTCAACAGCTCAAACAATACTACTATCCATGCATAGAGATATATATAGAGTATGTGGAAATGTTGAATATAGTGAAGAGTAACACTTGAAAAGTTTTGAGAAGCATTTTCTCTCATTCGACGTATACGTATTACCAATACATAAACGAATGAACAGTAGTATACAACACAAGTTTAAGACTTATCTCTTGTTGTCATCCTCCCCTTACTCTTTGCACTTCTGTACTTTAACACCTGACACCCTCGACAGCCTTTGAATTCCATTTAACACCCGCTATACCAACTTATACTATTCAACAGCTGCTACATGTCCATGGATATTTAAATAGTAATTAGCGAACCGAAATTACGTTAAAATTGAATGCCTTTTATGAAATTTTAAATCTGTTTAAATTTAATTTCAACTAGCTCGTTAAAAAAAAATTTTAATCGATAAAGAACTGTAGGAACAATTAAAAAATAAAAAAAAATAAAAAATTATGGCAATAAACTTTTGTCTCAACTAATTGGTAATTAGTAATGATTAAAAAATAAAATAAAACTAAATGCAGCTGGAGAACAATTTAAGAGAATCGAAACTAAAAAATCTGGCGTATAATCCAGGTTAAAGCTTATTTGATGGACGAAACTTTACGTTTCTAAAGTTACAGTTAACGAGACACAATGTCTATATATATATAGGAGTAATAGATATACCTAAAAACGAATTAGGTTGAAGAAAGTGTAGCCAACGAGAACAAAGACAAAAAGCTTTTTAACGAAGCTCTTACATCAACTGTAACTTTGAGCGAAACACGGAAATGAAATTTCTCAGTAGCCGTTCCAGCAACAGTCGCGTTAGAGAAATAAAAAAGGATGAAGAATAAGAGACGAAGGACGATTGAAAAAAAAAAAAAAAATAAATGAATGTACTGAAGTAAATCCCAGCCTCAGTTCACTTTTTACCCTCATTACAGGCTAACCCTTTTGTTTGCAAAAACAATGACGCCGTGGCTGGTTTCCCTAAGGAAGTGCCTTCTCAGAGAGCTACTCACGTCACACGATGGACTGTATTGTACATACATTCCCACCGCACTCCACTCTAACTCTTAAATAAAAAGCTAAGTGAAAAAATAAAATGTAGGACTAGAGAAAAAAACTATTGCCCTTTTCGCGTGTTTGCGTGCTTACTCTCTAGTGCTGTATATCATCATACTTCACACCGAGTTAGGCTATCACAATCATAAACCAAGATTATAACAAAAAAAAATAAAAGAAATGAAAAAAATGCGTACCTCGATGCTCGTAATAGACCCACTGCTTCCTCGAAATCCTTTTTGCGAAGTAACTTTTGGATTTTTTTCATAGCGTTGCTCCTGAAGAAAAATGAAATAATAAATGATATATTAAATAATAATAAAATGTTTATCAAAAAATAATTTAAATGATGGATTGAGCATACTTTTGATCTTCAATTGGAGTATCTAAAGTAGCATCAAAAGGTACAACGTCTGGTATAATACCCTCTTGCATAACAGCAGATAACTCTGGACCCGCGTCATCCCAACGTTCATCTAAGCTTTTCTGTACCGCGGCTGTTTGCTCTTGTTCTTTTTTCTGCTTGGTTTTTTTCTTGGTTCCTTTACGCTTTTTTGCTTTTGTTTTTGCTACCATTACATTACGACTTTTGTCGCAAAATTGCTCCAACATTTTGACAAAAAGGTGGGTTGTTGTAACTAAATCCACCAAATAATTTCTAAAACAAATACAAACAGATTTGTGATATAATACTGCTTAATATTTGATAAGTAAAAAAAAATAGAATAAATACTAGCAACCTTGCAGTCACTATGTGCCTGCCGTGACTTGTGAACTATAAATAAATAGAATTTTGTTTAATTAAATAATGTCTTTTGTTAAATTGCACTGTATTTTCTTAACTATTGACCTTTTTAAAGATATAAGCTCATCCCAATGTTACACTCATCAAAAGCTTTCATTTGAGTACCCACATGCATTTTGATATATTTTTCATATATTCATATATATAAATATATAAAATATATAAAAAATTGATGTGGGTACTCAAATGAAAGGTCTTGATGAGTGTAACATCGGAATGAGCTTATATCTTTAAAAATGTCAATAGTTCACAAGATAAAAGGTTATTTCTTCACGAAATACAAGGTCATTGCTTAATTATTGACATTTTTAAAGATATTATAAAAAATTGAAATTTTACTTTTATCATTTTTTAATTATGTTAAATTGCACTGTACTTTTTTAACTATTGATATTTTTAAAGATATAAGCTCATCCCGGGGTTACACTCGTCGAGAGCTTTCATTTGAGTACCCACATGCATTTTGATATATTTTTCATATATACATATATATAATACATATAAATATATGAAAAATTGATGTGGGTACTTAAATGAAAGGTCTTGATGAGTGTAACATCGGGATGAGCTTATATCTTTGAAAATGTCAACAGTTCACAAGATACAAGGTCATTTTTTAATTATGTATCCTGAGATAGAGCATTTTCGAATGCAGCCTAAATACTTATCATCATAAATTGAGTGTTGGTGAGAATGATATAAAACCATGAAAAGGCACAACTCTAGGTCAATACTTACAACGATACCAAATTTAACTATAAAAACCCATTTTATCATATAAATACACTGGCCATAAAATTTTGATTATTCTCTTAATAATATAGATTATTTTTAACTTTTTTTCATTTCTTATTCGATAACTTTTGAATATTAATTAAGTTATGGTGCAAAAATAGAGTTTGAAAGAAATGAAACTGATGACCAGTGAAATACGTGGTCATCATAAGTTATTAAATGAGAGGAATAAGCGAGAAGTTTTGTAAGCTACTAAACAAAAATAAATTGAAAGATAAATAATTAACAGTATCTCGCAGTTAAATATTCAAACCGTAATGGAAGATATCGTTAAAACTGTCAAAGAGTATTTTTAGTCAACGAGTCCCGAGTCCAAGTGTCCAATAATATCAACGATAAAAGTTGTTTATTCTCGGGAGTAAAGCCCGATAGACAGAAAAGGGTCAAGAGATAAAAAGGGAATACGGTAGCAAGTGTAAGCGACGAAGGGTACAATGAAGTGAATGTCAATCGAGAAATCGAGTTGGTTGAGGGTCAAGATAAAGTAAATAATAATAAAAAAAAAAAAAAATAGTATAAGATATAGAATGATAAGGGAAGTGAGTGAAGGTTCAGTCAGACACTAGATTGGCCCCAAGGATGGTAGCCAATATGTCTGTGGTCGATAAAACTTTCTGTAAACACTGACGCTTCACCTCCCACTTGACGTTATGAGTAGTGTGAGTGTGTGTGACTTTTAGTGTATAGTCAAGAGGACGGTTCTTACCTCTGTTATGTACGTGGAATAATATTCATCGATTTTTTATACATAGTATTTATTATCATTATTTTTTTTTTTTATCATTACTTTCATTATACTTTAGCCAAACTTGGAGGAAAAAGTATAGAAATATACACTGGTTTGTCTATTAGGCTATTGACCTCGCGTAAAAGTTGAAGAACGAGCACGAGATTGGATATAAAAGCTTCAAAAAGTAGTTTCGTACTTTTCGTTATCGACATCCTCAGCAGACACTTGGAAAGACTCGTTTTCAAACGAAGATTAAAGTAATCCGGTGTACTACAGTCGTCCTAGACTACTACACTACTTCACTTTAATCTTGTAAAACCATTGAGTTTATAAAAGAAGATTCCACGATAGAAAAAATATAAAATAAGTCGTAAGAAATTAAACTTTAAATAAAATTTTTCTCGTTCATTATCCTTTGGCGAGTTTTTTTTTTATAAAAAAAAAAATTTACTGTTTTAATAATGGAACTTAGCGGCTATAAAACAGTTTAAGTATTCAAAGTTTGTCGAGTATTAGAGACAATTAGGACAGAAATAAAATTTGAAACCCGTCGACAATACTTAAGAGAGACACAAGTGCTTGGAATACGATCGCAGCAGTAGTGGTACAAGAAGCAATGATCGTTAAATGTTATTAGATCGACGGCGCAAGTTAAGCGTGAGATACTTACCGCGACATTTTAAGCCCATTGTACGATAGAAGCTGCCCGAGTATCGTTTCTCGATATTCTGGTACGTAAAATATATTACTCTTAATGACCTTGCTGGAATCTCGTACATCCTTGTCGAGACTTTTATCCATCCAACTCAACGTATGGAGAAGTTCCTGCAAAAAAAATACATTTTTATTGTTTTAACTATCTACTAATCTATATTATTAAGAGAATAATCAAAATTTTGTGGCCAGTATATTTATATGATAAAATGAGTTTTTATGATTAAATTTGGTATCGTTGGAAAAGTCTTGACCTGGAGTTGTGCCTTTTCATGATTTCATATCATTCTCACCAATAGTCAATATATGATGATAAGTATTTAGGCTGCATTCGAAAATGTTCTATCTCTAGATACATAATCAAGAAATGACCTTGTATCTTGTGAACTATTGACATTTTTAAAGATATAAGCTCATCCCGATGTTACACTCATCAAGAGCTTTCATTTGAGTACCCACATCAATTTTTCATATGTTTTATATATATTATATATAATATATATGTATATATGAAAAATATATAAAAAATGCATGTGGGTACTCAAATGAAAGCTCTTGATTAGTGAAACATCTTGATGAGCTTATATCTTTAAAAATGTCAATAGTTAAAAAAGTACAGTGCAATTTAACAAAAGTCATTATTAATAAAGCAAAATTTTATTTATTTTTAGTTCGCAAGTCTCGGCAGTCACATAGTGACTGCAGGGTTACTAGTGATATATATTGAAAAAAAATATATATATATATAAATCAAATTTACCTGATAAGCTTTTAAAGCTTCATGTAAACGTCGTAACCAGTATGTCGGTTTTTTTTTATCTGCCATCAGCAGTTCATAATATTGGTCCATTTGTCTTTGAACTAAATAAAATGTTTCGGTTGAAATAGTTTCACTGTAAAAAATAAATAAATATTAAATAGAATAAAATAAATATAAAGACAATGGAGAGTGTTTAAATATGAATTGAAAATGTAATAAGTTGATAAGATGTGTTGAATATATTCAGAGATTTCTTTTAAGGTTCTAGCAAGTCTACTTCTTACTTTAGTGTGCAGGCTGCCAAAAATAAGTGAAGAAACTAAAAGTACGAAAGTTTGTACCGAGTAAAATGGGAAGCGACGAGAAACTCGTTGGTAAACTTTGAAAGCATTCTTCCGGGTTTGTAGCACGACCTTTCCTAGTTTCATATAAACGATAAAGAGAAGAGGAAGGATGTAGAGAACAGAGAAGCAGAAACCAGCAAGGCTGCTGCGCTAGAAATTTGTTCAGTACGACACCTACCTCACGTACTTCACCTGGAACTTGTAATGGCGGTTAAACTCCATGAAGAAACGTAATGCCCAAAAGTAATGAATGCCGTCAGACTTATCTGCACTATCTCCGATTATAAAGGACTTTGCGTATCTCATTACAGGATTGTAAGCACCAATTAGAAATTCCACGCAAAATTCTTTTAGAAATAATCGTACGCTAAGTGCTGACATACGTTCCTCCACTGCTGGCTCAACGAAAACACGATTTTTGGGCTTCTTCATCTTGGTCTGTGGAAAAAATATTTAATAAAATTTTTTAAGATAAATATAACAATTTAAATTAATTGTGACAAGTTCATCACATGCTTTGAATGATAAAATATTCTCCAAGTGGCGTATTAATATTGAACAACCGATTAAAAAAGTAGCAACACTCAACAAAAGATAAAAAGTGCTCAAGATGACCCAGTTCGAGATACTCGAAGCCATTAACCGAGAGTGAGCTTAATTACGCGCGGGAATATCTCTAATTAAGAGTCGTATTTTCATTCGTATCCAGCTTTCAGTACCCGCTGGTATTGCTACTGCAACTTATTCTCCTTATTCTTCTATGCTATTGCGCGCTTAATGAAAACTATCGTCGGGAAACCGGCTGCTAATTGAATCAACCTATTCACCAGATTTTTATGACAATTTAACAACGTATAGTAGCAATGAAAAAATTACTACTCCCGAATGTCTGTGTCTTTTTTGTTCTTCTGACTATCTGAATTAATTAATTACTATTGAAGTTAATTGTAATTGAAATAATAATTTTATAAAAATAAAAATAAAACTTACTTTATCTCGTGAAAATTCAAATGCCTCGATCTTATCAAATGGTCTGTGACAAATCAATTGATTTTCTCCAATACCTTTCATATTCTGCACCACAAATGTACCCCCAAATCTGGAATGTCTGTAAGAAATAGTTTTTTTTTTTTTTTTTTTTTCTTCAATTAGAGTGATGATTCTTTTGCTGTAAAATTTTTTAAGGAGATACATGCGAAGTAGTCAAATTTTTAAAACTTCCTGAAAATTTGTATATTCAATCTACGTAGCCTAATGATTAATAAAAAAAATTAAAAAACAGTAGATTTCCAGGATATTCAATCAAATAATTAGGTTTGAAAATTGTCATTTTTACATGTAGGTAAATGGAGATTCCACGAGCCGTGTATTTGGTTAAGAATTTAATGCAATTAACGATTTAAAAAAAATTTTATTTTCATTGAATTTGATTGAAAAAATAATAAGCTTTCGATTAAAACAATAAAAAAAGTAGCTTTCCGAACGAATTACAGAGATATTCTATATTTTTCATGAAAAATCACAAGGAACTTTCGTTCTTTAAAGTCTTGTATTTGACTTGGCAACACCGCTCGTGCAGTTACCCGGCGCATAAGTAACCGCGGTTTTTTAAATGCTAGAAGATCTTAATTTAATCAATTTAGTTAGACAGTAAACATAAATAAATTTTAAGATTAGGAAACTCTTGCGGTGTTGTCCAGTAATTCAGAGTGCTATATTTTTTATTAGTCAATTAAATGTTAATAATTATTTAATGAGTAAATTTTTCGGAAATTCCCTTAAAAATGGTATTAAGGAGATCCACACGAAGTAATCACATTTTTAAAACTTCCGGAAAATTTGTAAAGTCAATCTACGTAGTCTAATAGTTAATAAAAAAAATTAAAAAACAGTAGGTTTTCGGGATATTTAATTAAATAATTAGGTATGAAAATTGTAATTTCTACACGCAGGTAAATGGAAATTCCACCAGTCGTATATTGGTTAAGAATTTAATGCAATTAACGATTTCAAAAAAATTTTATTTTCATCGAATTTGATTGAAAAAATAATAAGCTTTCGATTAAAACAATAAAAAAAGTAGCTTTCCAAACGTATTACGGAGATATTTTATATTTTTTATGAAAAATCACAAGGAACTTCCGTTCTTCAAAGTCTTGTATTTGACTTGGCAACACCGCTTGCGCAATTACCCGGTGCATAAGTAACCGATAAGAAAAAGCATCATGACTTTTGACAACTCATTTTAAAAATTCCTTTTCGCACAAAATAAAAAAAAATAAAAATTATGCTTTTATACATTTGATAGCCTTTCTTTAGCAGAGCGGTTGGTATTATCAAACATTTTTCATAATAAAAGCATTACAACTAAAGAATTACTGTGCAGTGTAGATATATCTCTAGCATAAAAATAAAAAAATGTTGAATACCGCTCATTACAAAAATGTAGCTTGTGCTTCGTCTCCTAGTTCTTTCCAACAAGTGGATAAAAGCTTGCTATTCATGACCAAAGTGATTCTGGTTCATGTAACTGGGTCATAATCATTGCATTGACACTGGCATACATTCATACAGATCCCACATAAACACGACATACCGAAATAGCATTTATATTCTCTCTACTCACAAGCTACAAAGAATAATCTTTATAATAAAGATACTTTGTGTATTTTTATGCAGCATTTTACGGCTTAGATAATTCTTTACCCTCATAAGAAACAAATTATTTTTATCTATCTAGCTGTTGCAAAAAAAAAAAAAAAAAATTTTTTTTCATTCGAAAATGAAATAGTACTGGATTCATAAGCAACAAAAATGTAAAAAATATTAAAACTGTTGAATTGTTAAGCCGTAAAGAGGAAAATGCATTTTTGAAATATATTAAATAATGCCTGAGTATATTACGTTAGAATATTTATCACTAGAAAAATTCCGGCGTAGTTTTCTAGGTGGTAGTTAAATTAAAAATGAAATAAAATAAATTATATGATAAATATATACCTCGAGCCGCTGTACTTTTTCATTTTTTCCATCTTCTCAGTTATTTCTTTTTGCCTTACAGCCAATAATTTAGCCTCCTCGCGTGCTTTTTCTTCGGCAGTTCTTTCCAGGCCAACTACTGCTAATTTACTAGCATTTTGTTCACGTAACATCAATGCGATTATCTGAAATAATTATTCAATTATTTTAAAAATAGATTAGCAAGTAAATAAATAATGGAAAAATAAAAATAAAATAAAATTACCTCAATAATCTGTACGTGGAACTGTTGCTCGCTGCTGTTACTCGCAATAAATAACAAAAGATCGACGATACCAGACGCATGGAGAGCAAACAAAACCTGCGATTAAATAAAATGATAACTTTGGTAAATAACAAAGTCATAAAGAAGAAAGAGTTAAAAGTTTTTAAGTTTTATAATGATGAATTATAACAACCTCATCGTGAACTGTGGCATCATTGTCAGCTCGTTTGTCATTGTCGTGTGGAGGTACTTGAAGAACGTTCCTAATTAATGTTAGAATTCTCTCGATGATTAATTCGTTTTCTTCACCTCTTTCACTAGTATCCTGATGACATTATTAATAAAACCTCAGATTGTATAGTATTACAAATAAATAGTTACTCAGTGAAATAAAAATGATGGTTACTCACTATTTTCAATATTTTTCCCAGACGACTGCTGACCACTGTCCACACACGTTCATCTGTCAATGCTTTTTTGTAACCTTGCAAATAGCTGACTAATTGTAAATAATAATTACGATTTGTTCTTTCAGCCGGGAGCTCTTCATTGTATACCATCAATGCTGGACTTGTTAAATTAATCATCAAACTGAAAAACGAAAAAAAATTAATTAATTTAAATTCTAAAAATTTTTTTTAGGTGAAAAAAATAATCTATATTATTAAGACAATAAGAAAAATTTTGTCTCTATGATAGTTATATGATAAAATCGGTAGCTTCATTCGAAGTGCTGTATCTCTAAATACATAATTAAGAAATTACCTTGTATCTTGTGAAATATTGACATTTCTAAAGATATAAGCTCACCCCGACATTACATTCATCGAGGCCTTTCATTTGAGTACCCACATCGATTTTTCATATATTTATATATATGAATATATGAAAAATATATCAAAATGCATGTGGGTACTCAAATGAAAGCTCATGAAGAGTGTAACATCATAATGAGCTTATATCTTTAAAAATATCATAAGTTGACAAAATACAAAATAATTTCTTAATTATTGACATTTTTAAAGATATAAGCTCATCCCGATGTTACACTCATCGAGACCTTTCATTTGAGTACCCACATCAATTTTTCATATATTTATATATTTTATATATTTATATATATGTATATATGAAAAATATATGAAAATGCATGTGAGTACTCAAATGAAAGCTCTGGATGAGTGTAACATCGGGATGAGCTTCTATATTTAAAAACGTCAATAGTTAAGAAAATACAGTGCAATTTAACAAAAGTTATTTAATAAAGCAAAATTTTATTTATTTATAGTTCACAAGTCATGGCAGTCACATAGTGAATGCAAAGTTGCTAATTATTACCGTAATAGAACATCCCATAGTTCAGATTTGTTAGAATGTTCCACGAAAATTTGGATCAGATCTGTTTCCAAAAATTTTGTTTGACCTAAGTAACGACGAATTGTATGTGTGTCATCGTCTCTCTTCAAGTATTTTATTAAATCTTTTATTACATCTGCAAAAAAAAATTTAATTATTTTTATTATAATTAAATATTAAAAATAATTTATTAAATTATATTTTTATAAATTTATTTATTTTTTGATTACAATTTTTATTTGGTAAAAAAAAAAAATAATAATAATAATAATAATAAATTTACCTAGAGCATCAGGATCCAAACGATAGGTAGCACCGTCATGATAACCGAGCGCATCACAAGTTGCCGCAAGTTCCGCGGATATATAATCCGTCATTTTATTTTATGTATTTATTAATCAACTATTATTATGAAAAAATCAATTACAGAAATATTAACTGAGTGTATTTATAAATAAAAAGACACACGACACTAACGAGTATGCACGAATGTCAACATCATAACAAAACAAAACAATTTGACAGGTTAAGCCTGAGCGGCATGAACACAAACGACAACAATTATATGTAAATATTTAAACTACTTTGTAATTACTGTTTTGAAGCGTAATTATAATTTAAATAATTGTATACACGCGAAGATTAATGTGTTAAATTAAATTTAAACGACGGGGATTATTAAAGCGAGTTAAAGTTTGACATAACTTTTGACCATAGCATAAGCATACGAACGCCTAGGTCAAATGTGAACAACAAAATGCAACAGGTGGGGATAGCGCGCGGGTAATGCCGGTATTAAAGTTGATTGGCTCTTTTCAAAATGGCCACTTTCTATTGGATAGACAGTTTAAGACTTCCGATTGGAGGACATTCAAATTGTAGAATTTGGATTGGTTTTTAATGTTTTGTCGTCCGTTAGAAACTGTCTTGAAGATCAGCTGACTGTCGCAGGCGACTCACTGACCCACAGAATATTTTTCTAGTTGTTTGAAATCTTGAGAGTCTTTTTTTGCTTATTTTATCCCAAGTTCATTTAAAATTTTATAGATTTAAAGTATATATTTTTTTAAAGTAATTAATCAAAAAATGAAACTGAAGTTAGCTAACAACTGTCATTTTTTTTAATTTTTATAATAAATCAATTACAATAATAAAAATTCTTTAAAAAATTTCCACTAGTAATTTTTTTTTATTTTCAAATGTGGAATTTTTATGTAAATTAATTCAGCAGACATTTGACAATTTTAGAAAATTTTTTTAACAAATAAATTATGGCAATTTTTTTTTAATAATTTTTTAGAACAACGTTTTTTGTTAAATAAAATAGAAAAATAAAAATAGTTGTAGAGTCACAATAATTTAAAATAATTAATTAAGAATGTTAATAATAAATTGTGAATAAAAACCAACTTTAAATTCAGTGGTGATGGAGATTAAGACTTGAGTACAGCTGCATTAATCAAAACACTTGTTCTTAAAGGTGAGTTAAGAATTACAATAATAATTATAATTATAAAATATTTAATACTTAATTTAAATTTTTATTTATTTTAATATAGGAACTATTATAGATAGAATTATACTGGACTGGAGACAAAAGCTGAGTTCAAGGTACTTAAATCGAAACAAATATTTACTAAGGTTCACTAACAGTTTATTAATTAATTAAAATTAAATGAATATTTTCATTTAACGATTGAAATATTTGTGAATATTTTTAGTGGAAAAAATAATGATGGTGTCATGATCATGATGGAGATTAAAATCTTAGAATGTCTTACAGCTGATGAATGCTTAGCTGTTATTCATCGAAATGCAAGTTTGAATCTACGAAACGTAAGTTTAATAATATTTTATTATGATAATTATAAGATGATTTATAACTCCACAAAGAATCGAATTTATCTTTTAACTTTCTTATTTGAACAATATTATTTATCAGCGCAGTAATTACTCAAGCGCAGGGATTCGCAATTAAATATAATAATGAATATATTTGCTTCACGAATTTAAAAACAGTTAACGCGGAACAATAAAGTTGTAGTTAAGCTTCATTAAAGTTAGCAAACAATTACATCAACAATTATTAACCTGCATCATCGAAACCGTAACGTAGTTTGCATAAAAGTTCAAAGGCAATAGATTGTACCTACCGCAAATTAGCTCCACCGGTGTGTAATATCCCCAGTTCATATTAAGCACACCCAGACTACACCAAATATATAACTCACTTTACAACTATTTACCGCACATTACACCAACCGTTGAATTTTCTCACCCTCCAGCCACACGCGGCGTTTTTTCCGCTCACAGTCAAATAAATTTCGTGTTATCTCATTGAAAAAGTATTAAACTGACAACCGTACCCTTTACTTTTCACGCTTTTATTAATTTTATTCACCCTCATAGTTATTTATTTTTATCTTTTTAAACCCCGTAAAAACCACGTCTATCTCTATTTTTTTATTTCACTATTTTCATAATTACAAATCGCATAAAACCGCGAGCATATTGTTAATGTAGTTACAGCAGATCTTACAAAAGAAAATTTCCATTTAATTTAATTTTACTGTAACAATATATAAATCTCACAACTGATTTAATTATCCTTCATAGTAAATTTATATCTGGAGTTACAATTTTTCCTCGGGCATTAAATGTCGTGATAGTATTAAAAAAAAAATTGAATAAAGCAGACTTAGTTAAATAAGAACAAAAAAATATAACTTATTTATTTAGAAAATATAAATACAAATATAAATAATTAAGTAATCTAGAGTATCATGTTTGAAATAGCAATCTTGTGACCTCTATACATTTTACCGCATTATATCCATGGAGTATATTGTGTCCAATTGAATATCCTCTCAGTATCTCTCGGGATACTCGAGAGACACAGACAATCCCTGCAACATCTCTACATGTGTTGTTATAGGTACATAATAATAGTAATACTACATTCTCGTTTTGAAATTTCATTTTATTCTATTCATGAAATTTTACATCATAGTTATATGATTTTATTATTTTTACTTTCAATCACTGGTCAGTAATCAATGTTCGTTCAATTAAAATTATTTTTATTATATCATCATACTTTACAATCGATTCTCGAGTAATATAAATCCCGTCGAATTTACAAAAGCGCCGAATTTATTTCCCACCAATTAGTTTATAAGCTAACAATAAAATTTTTTTATTGAAACCATCCTCGTTATCGCGAAAAAAAATTAATGAGCCATATTGAATTTTATTTTCATATTTTTAACAAAAGAAAATATTTCTAGATTTTAATTCCACAGAATAAATGATTGTCAGTGAAAATAATATTTTCTGACGTACATTGTTGAGTATAACAATCAAGTAGACTCTTCATGTCCAAGACTGACAGGTTTTTACGAGAGATTTTAGCTCATTAGACATAGTCTGGATTGGAATTACTGAAAATTTAAATTACAGTTGAACGATCATCTGTCGCATCTGTCGTGTGTACTTCAAAAACCAATTTGGTACATCCACGTCATGGCATTCATTAAATTCCAACTGATACCACAGCATCAGCATCAGCATCAGCATCAGTACTAGCACTCGTGCGGGACTGCGGGTTGTGTTAAATTCATTGGCTTGTATAAACTGTACGTTTTCATCTAAAATTTACTTGTGGTTCAATGAAATCGTCCACCGGCAATCGTAAATAATATATTAGTTTAAATTTTATCAACTAATAATTGAATTAAATAGTATTACATAACTGTACAAGTTAAAAGATTATGATGAGATAATCTATTTTATAAAGTTGAGCATCTGTTTGAACTTTGAAACGTATTTTGTTGCCTACATACCAACAATAAAAGAAATAGCTTCGTAAAAGGATCAAACTAAACTGCTACTCCTGGCAGCGGTACTTTAACTGCTATTCTGATGCTGGTGTTGGTGGTACAAAGGGATAGCAGTAACACAGTTAGCTATTTATCCGTACGCGTGTGACTGTAATGCACGAATTTGCATGCAGGTCTCATAGAGAAAGAGCTCTACGAGCAACGTATGCCACCGGTGTTTTAGCAACTACTGTGTATATACCCACTTCCAAATTACTACGTCCCGCAAAATAGCTTCTGACTCAACCATTGCACGACCACACTGTTTTACCATTGCTTTCCTTCCTCCACTTCGACCTCTGGAATTTTCTCCAGGGACAGTCAAACTCTATATTGCTGAAAATACATTCATAGCATACCACTGCTGTCTCCAATTTCTCACGAAACTTCTAATTTGGATTCGTAGATTAAAAAAAAATTAATCTGTTAATTTATTGTTTATGATTACACAGAAAAAAAGGTTCACTTGAGCTAAGAAAATATTTTTCCTCCTAATTATTTTCTTGAGCGAAAAAAAAATTTTTTTTTGACACAAGAAATTTCACTTATTCCAACAAAATTAATTTTCTTGCTTTAAAAAATATGTATCTTGATCCAAGAAAATTTATTTAAGTCAAGAAAATCTTGTTGCTTTGAGAAAATTCAGCCTCTTGCTCCAAAAAATTTAGTTCTTGATAGAAGTAAATTTTCTTGTCTTGAAAAAATTTCTCTCTTGCTCTAAAAAATTAAATATAAAGATAGAAGTAAATTTTCATTAATATTTTTATTGATTAACATGTCAAATGGGAAGATCAAAAATATTGAATCATTTTTTTTTTTCATTCAATATGTATAATTACACGCTAAAATAATATAAAATGGGTATCAAATATTCAAGAGAAAAAATTTTCTCAAGGTGAGAAAATTTTTTTCTCAGCTGAAGTAGGTAGCGCTGCTTCCCTAAAGTATCTAAAAATCTTGATCAAATATAAAAATTTATTGTATCGAGTATTTATGATAATTTGGATTAAGAAAAAATTACTTCCACCAAGAATAGAATTTCAAGAAAAATTTTTACTCCAGCCAACACAACTTCGGTCTTTCTTCAGATATCCGAAAATTTTCTTGAGCCAAGAATTTTGTTTTCCAGTCAAGAAATTTTTCTTTCTGTGTATGAACAATGAAATAAACAAGTAAATTTGACAACAAACAATCGATAAAGATAAAAAATTTTAATTGTTTTTATTAGACTACTAACAAATTAAAAATAATTATTAGAGTAAATTTATCGAACGTAAATAAAATTTTTATTCAGTCATAAAACTCTTCATTAATCGACAATATTTTATCTAACAACTTTAAAAATAAGCAGTTGGTTTTAACGACTTCGTCATGAAGCGTCATTACTCTCGAGACATCTCGCTTAGCAAACTCTCCTTATAACATTACAACCCCTCGAAGAAATTGTTCGATAGTACCTACCGTCTACCGTTAAAATACCTAACAAATAAAACAAGTTA